TTAACAAGTCTTTTGAGGTGTTTCTGCGTTTTTTCTTTTAATCAGTGGCTTTCGATAAATCCGTGGTGAAAAGTTTTCAAATGAACACCCTGTATAATAAATAGTCGTGCATCTTCTCGTTTACTGAACTGAGCACCCCGTTGATCAAGATCTCCTTGAGAGAGCGTTAAGCGGGCATTAAAAATACTAATTTTATTTTTACGGTTCGGCCTGCGGAAAACGGATTATCTGCAAAGCTGCTTAACATTTTTATATCCCAGAGGTCAATATAACCTTCCCTCCTGTTAAGTTCAATCCCCTAGCAAGCAGTTTCGTTAGCTGCTGCGACGCGGTTTATGTTACTTTATATTATGATATGGAATTTATGGAAATTACTTGTCGCCAGAGAATGTCTCAGCCCCGAAAAAAAAAAAATAATAAATTCTTCATTTATATTCAAGAGATACATTTTTAGGGGATTTTTTTACGGCATTGTACAAAGCAGTTGTGATAAGTCACGCGGTTGTTGAGATGAGATATAATGTTTCATTGTTTTGAATTGAGTTGTTTTACAACGCTTGTATTTTCTTAATGTGATTTTTTAGAGTCATCTAGTAGACTACTAATCTGGAGCAAATGAAGGTGAGGTTAACAGATTTTCAGGATCAGGTACTGATCCTCAATTACCAATTGGTTACTATTCTTATTTCGTCACCATTGAAGCTTATTCTCCGATACAAATTTTGTTCATTTCGGATAGACAGATACATTATCTATTTAGAGAATGGTGTCGATTACACTTATAGACAAATAGGCGATTGTAAAAGTAACATCACAAAATTACGACTTACTTAATATAGTAACTAAAACAGCTGTTAATAATCACACATCCATAAAGAATGCAACTGAGACTACTAATATTTTTTCTTTAGTTATCGTCATCGTCAGCGGTCTGTAGGTCCTTTGCCCTTGGTTAGCTCAAATACCTTCTGGACAACATGTAACCCAATCGAATATTGATAGCTAAGTAATTAATTTGTTCAATGTCCAGAAAATAACTCAGAATTGGTATTATTTTACAAGCTGTAAAAGAGTGACTCGAAAATGGTATTTTGGAAAGATTAATCCAAAAAAATATTTTGGTTTGATTTCGATAATATAAGCTACACTTCCGACAAACAGCCGATTTGTAATTTTCACAACAGATGGGCAATTAATGTCCCAAAGGAAACTTAGATCACTTAACCAAGTTTTAGGTTCATGTCCAATGTCTTTGAGAGTGGCTGCAATAGTCGATTTTATCAAAATTAAATAAGACTTTTTCTCAGTTAAAGAAAGCCAGCTTGCCTGAAATATAATTTTGCTTCCCACGCCTACCGGCGAGGAAGTATTGTAATCGCGGAAAATTTCGAAAATTGGTTACCATATTGTTTGGACGTTTGATGAAATGTACATCACGAACAACCATATCACTCATTTCCGTGGGTCTGTTTATCTGACGGTCTGTCTACATATCCAAAAAGCTTTGTAAATTTTTAAAATCGGTCTAGTAACGGCGGACCTACGGGGCAAAAACTAAAAAAAATCGCTCAAACTTCGTTTTTGACGTTTGACAGACTGACCTTTTTTGAAGGGGCTTAATATTGAGATCTGGGGAAAGTATATCTCAATTTTTTGTCGTCAGAATATTCATATGCTTCCAGCCCCGGTGATTCATCGCACCTATTAGATAGATTTTCACGTACATTTGCTCTTAAAACGTGGGGAAACATCAAACGGTCGTGTCGCATCTACGTCGCACTTGCCGTACGCTACGAACACCGGTATGCACAATAACCTTTCTGCGACTGCTGCATAATCTTTGACCACCACACTGTTCGAACTGGCCTGCATAGTATGGCTAACGCTTCCGGATGATCAGTACTTGGAGGAGAGCTCTGAGGAGCAAAGCCCGTTGACGTAGCGGTAGGGGAGATCTCTTGAGAACACACGCGTTGACATTGTGGGATGAAGAGGCGAACCCGTCAATTACGACGGCTATCTTGCGCTCAGAGAGAAACTCGGTCACCCATCTCCAAAGCACTAAAAGCCTATATAGGATGAAAGTTTGCCTGACAGAGTGGCATGCCGCAGCTGATCGAACGGTTTCGAGATATCAAGAACAACGAAATAGTGTAGCTTACATGGAAAAATAAGAATATATCCTTACTATATGTCGTCCATCTACTTGAGTATAAAGAAACCCTACATGTAAAATCATATTCCCGAATGACTTCCTGCAGCAAAGCATATAGGGATGCCGCTCAATTACCCTGACAGCGCAACAAAGCATAGCATCGAGTTTACCCCGTCGTATGCGGTGACAACAGGGTGCATACTTTGCGTTTCGCCGTGCATCTCTCGTGAAATTCCGATCTAATAACGACGGAGAACCCTACATCGGTTGCCTAGACAACCCCATGCCCAAAGGGCCCTCAAAGATCTGCCGTTTGCCGGTAACAATATCATGCGCACGATTAACGAGCCATCACGAGCCCTACCTTGATTTTGGATCAAAGTAGCAACACGTTCATGTACAAACACTAGGAAAGCACCAGTGATAGAGATCTTGAGGCGGAGATACGTCATTGCCGAAAAATAACAGATTAACAGAAGCATTAGACAATGATAAACATTTGAGGTTACGGTACAAATGATGGGAACAGCTGGGCTAAAATATTTTCAAAACGGTAGCACTTTGGATTGTATCGTAAAGGTTTATTTTGTATAAGGGTCCCTACTTCGCAGATTAGTAGCGACCGAGATATATAGAAGCATTGGTTTTTGCATCGCCTAAATGGTCCACCGCGTCATGACCTACTTAAAGTCAAATGATCGAAAAAGTCGTAGGATTTAGCATTTAGCAAGAAAAAAAAACAAGATTTTAGTATATTAATTTGCGAATTTTGCAAACTTATAGATTAAGTAGTTTCCAAAAATTGACTTTTAGCGTGTTTTAGAATACAATTTTCATCGTCCGTTTAAACACCCTGTACTAGTTATTATCTAAATCTGGGATGAAATCCACTGAAATGTCTCAATGAAGGTAGACTTACGCATATGATGATATAGGGGAGAAGTGGCATGAAAGAGCCAGGTTTTGAAAGAGCCACTTGCATTATTTCGGTGGGTTAGGAACGAATTTGGTGGGTGATCTTATTTTAAGGTGGCAGCACTAATTTCTCGCCACCCACAAACATTTGACAGTTGGCTAGTGATAACAGGCGGCGGTACATCGAGTCAAAATTTTTGGCATCCAAAAGTAAGTACTTTGCTCTATCTAAGTAGTTTTTTGGCATTTTATTGTAAACAAATATAAGTATGTTGATTGTAGATTCAGTTTGTGCATATAATTGGCCTTGCAACTGCGTAAACACTAAGCGGCAAAAGGTTTTATATTGCTGTTATTTTGAAGGTTATATATTTTTTACCAATAAGTTATGAAAGAGCCGGGTGCATAGGCCTTAAAAGAGCTGGCTCTTCCATAACCGGCTCTTTTATAACCCTATATTTAAGTTTTAGTAATAAATTATTATAATAATAAATATGCATTTTTATATATTATTAAATTATTTGCTTCATATACTGCATTATGGAGAAGGCTGGCTCAAAAAAACGAAAAAGACCCGAAAAATCGGTAATTGAAGAAGCAGTCAGTGAAGTTTTGGAGAAAGGTCAGTCCATAAACAGAACTGCACTTGCCTTAAACATATCGAGGGCTTACTTAGCTAAAATCGTTAAAAAAGTAAAGACGTCTGGCGATTCATTATGTGAACACTGTCCTAATATAGGGAACAGGCGTATTTTCACAACAGAACAGGAGAATATGCTTGCAGATTATTTAAAGACCGCATCTAAAATGTGCCATGGCCTAACAAGACATCAAGCAAAGAAGCTAGGATTTGATTATGCCGTAGCCAATGATATCTGTCCATCCAAATGGAAAGAAGTCGAAACTGCGACTGATGATTGGCTCAAAGGGTTTATGAGCAGACCTAAAGACTTAACTGTGAGAAAACCTGAAAGCACTCCTCTATCCCGTGCAACAAGTTTTAATAAAGCTAATAAATTTCCTAGTCATAGGATTTTAAACGCCGATGAAACAGGCTGCAGCACCGTCACCAATCCTCCTAAGGTCATAGCTGAAAGGGGGAAAGTTACCTCAGCCGAACGAGGAACATTGGTGACAACTCTGTTCTTTATTAATGCTGCTGGGGGTTTTTTGCCGCCCATTTTTGTGTTTCCTAGAGTAAACTATAAAGATATTATGTTAAATAATGGTCCGCCAGGATTGGCTCAAGTTTCTGGATGGATGACTGAAGACTGTTTTGTGAAAGCGCTTGAACACTTTGTAATACATGTCAGGCCATCAAAAGAGAATCCAGCATTGATATTAATGGATAATCACACCTCTCATGTAAATCTCAGAGTGGTTGAATTTGCCAGACAAAACTCCATCATAATAGTTACATTCCACCACACTGCAGTCATAAACTGCAACCACTAGATATCACAGTATATGGGCCTTTCAAAACTAGGTACCGCACTGCCATGAATGAATGGATGTTGACGAACCCTGGAAAAACAGTTACTATTTATCAAATTGGGCAATTTGTAAAAGAAACATATTTGCCAGCTTTCAGTCCACAGAATATAACACAAGGACTTTTGAAAACAGGAATTTATCCATTAAATTCTAATATATTTAGTGAAGAAGCATTTTTATCTTCATATGTGACTGATAGACTTGATCCGCAGTCAAACGATGGTTTAAACTTGTATAAGGAAAGTATGGAAAGAAACTTAGAAACAACACCACCATCTTCTACAAAATCGCTTGAAGCTGGCGAAGAAAATGAGCTTCTAATAGATCAGAATATCAGACTCTCTCACTGTTCAATCTCCACCCCCACGGCTGCAAATCCGAGTCAACGAATGATATCACCGGAGATGATAAGACCATTTTCTAAAATAATAGAAAAATGTCATCTGCTATCGTAATCGACTCTCCCGAAAGGAAAAAAATAGAGGAGAAAGAGTATAGTGCAAAGAAACCAAAAGTTACTGTTAAGAAAATGACTACAAAAGACTCCATAAAAACGCTTAAAACAAAATCAGAAATAAATAAAGAAAATTCCGTTCTGCAAGATGACTCTGATTCGTCTGACTCTATCGTATTGGCTGAATTAAAAGCAAAGGGTGTTCGAAGCAAAATAAACCCAAAGACAAATTAAAATAGTGATGATTGTGCAGTTTGCAGCAAAACATATAAAGACAGTGATCAAGATTGGTTTCAGTGCAAAATTTGTTCTGGTTGGGCTCATGAATGCTTTGGTATTAAGGGGAACCTTAATTTCTTTTGCAAGACATGTTTCTAATTTGAAGAATACGCATTATATTCTGTTCTGATAGATGTAATGATTTTGTTTTTGATAAAAGATATTATTTGTTGTTTTATTTAATTTAAATACTGTTATTGATAAAAAATAATCCGCCTCTAATATGTTAAGTTTATATTTATTATAAAATATCACTAGTTTTTAAAAAGAATTTGTTAGAATTGTCTTTTCATTTGTTGTTTAATAGTGTATACTTATTAGTTTGTATAATTTTCACAATTTCAAGTTATAATACAAGCTGGCCCTTTCATTACTTTTAGTGGCTCTTTCAATACCGAAATGTTATGAAAGAGCCAAATGCCACATTTTTAAAAAACGTATATTTCATTGGTTTTATATACCGTATTTTAGATTTTTTGTATGAAATATATACTTTAATAAATAAATAATAGTTTGACTAAAAAAATAATCATTTCATTCATTAAAAGTATATTATACACTACTCCCCTACACATGAGCAAGCTGGTGGCGGCAGCGCCACCATTTTGAAAATATTTTGCCGAATAGCTTCCATCAGTTACAGTAGAAACCTACATTTTCATAACTGTTTTCCGTCAAGTTTTTAAGTATTCCATCGCTGCAGTTCTACGTGGGACACGCTTTACTTCTAAATAATATGAATTTACATATTAGTCATCAAACTTAGCAAAGAATATCTGGTCGTTTTAATTGAGTTTCATCTGGAAAACGTCTATTGAAAATTATTATTGTTTACATACTGGAGCAGTCGCAAGGGAAATTCCTAAATACTGAGATACTGTACTGCTATGAAGGTGTTGGTCCGGCTATTGAACTAGCTATCTCTCGATTACAGACCTTGACAGAAGTTCAATCTTTACGGCCGGGTTAGATAGCAAAACGTACTTCCTAGCCCTTTGAGAAAGCCTCTTGTCATACATATCTCAACACAAGTATTTTTTTTTTTAATCACTGGGCATAACATAACAAAAAGGCTTTGTTTCTGCTTAGATTTTCCAATTGGGAATTGAACCCCACATTGAATGTATGCTTTTCGCTGGTAATAACTTTTTGATGTAATTTATTCAAAGCAGTTTGGAGCACTCTAATTCGCTTTCACATTCTGCCTCCAGCGGTTGGATTGAATATTTAACTAAGCTGATAGGGGATGAAAACGCGTGGGTGGAACTCAGAATTTTGAAACTCAGACTATATCAAGGAGCATGCAACTTTTGTGACGAATTAGTATATTTCGATGATTTTTTCATACGATGGCTACAGTTCAAAGGCTTATAAGATAGTCAGACAAACTTGTCATTTGTCCCGTTTTTATTTCTCGTCCTTTATTCTCACTGCCAAGAATATACCGCCATTTCCTTTGTCATAATTTACCCAAAATTATAGATGGATTAGTGTAACTTCTAAAAAAGTAACTGCTTGTGTTAAACTAGACTCTTAAGTCAAAATTACATATGCTAATTAGAGAGGTAAGAGATGTAACCCAAAACATGTCGTCCACGAAGCAGCTGATGGCGCCTAAATAAATAATTGCAATTTTATATTGTTACCCTCAAAATAACTTCCTTCTAAAACCACACAGCGCTGGAGACCGTTCTTTCACTCCTTATAGCAGTGCTGGATCTCCGATGTTGGAATAGCCTTCTGTTGGTCAGTTACAGCCGGTTGAATGTTGTCGACTGTCCCAAAAAGGACTCAAGTCAGGCGTTGCTCTTGATCTGACGAATGGTGGTGTGTGTCAAATTGAACTTTTCCCCGACGATCTGAACGCACAAGATCCCAAATTCTGTCGATATTTCCATCAGTTCCTGAAGAGTTTCCATCGCACTATGCCCAAGTCTAAAGCAAAACCTGTTAGCACACCTAGAAATTAACCAAATACTCGAGCGACCCTAAACTTGTACTTTGTACTCAAAACGGATCACATGTTCACTGTCTCCCCTCCAAGCCAGGCGCCTCTAGTATTGGCAGATCGAACGCTTCTTTGCCATTCTCATTTCTTAATTTACAGACTTCGTATGCTGTTCTCATATGGTCCGAGATAGATGCGGCGCTGCAATAATAATCCTTTTTGGATGAATTTCCATTACTTATCGTGAAAGTATTTTGTCGTTTAAATTTAATTTTGGCTTGGACAGTTTTAGAAAAAAAATTGACTTAATTGCATATCCCTGGACCACAAAAGGAATATGGAGAAACGTTTCTTTTGGAAATTATTCTTTTATATAATTTTTTATTACTAATTATGTAACAACAAATAAGCACTCAATTAAATTAATTAAAAGTTGTAAGTAGTGTATAATATATTTTGTGGTCACAACAAGGCATTGAGATCGAACTGCCTGTATGTAAGAAAAGACAATCTGAGACATAAGGCCCCTACACACGGACGTGGATGTATGAAGACATGTACGTATATACAAGAATTCTGTAATCGCTAGAAATTTTGTGTGCGCGTTCAGGTTGATGCTTCGTGTGGAGGTAAAAAACTCATGTATGTGCATTTTTTATCAGTAGCGTAGTAAATATGTTGTATCGAGGAAGTCATAGTTTAAGTTCCAAGTAAATTACGATGTCTGACTGCAGAACAATATCCCGTACATTTGTGGAGGAATTTATTGGAATCTACAAAGAACTACCTTGCCTGTGGCAGACAAAATAAAAAGAATATTAAAGAATATTTGGATAGAAATAAAAAGAATGAAGCCTATAAAATATTGGTGAAAAAACTGCAAACTATTTAACCCGATGCAACAAAAAATACTGTGGTAGCTAAAATTAATAGTCTTGGTAGTTTCCGAAGGTAGTATGAAAAGTTGTGAATTCAAAAAGAAGTGGTTCGGGTTCTGATGATATATACATAGCTTCGTTATGGTACTACGATTTACTTCTGTTTCTTCGAGACCAGGACATACCAAGACAGTCCACTTCGAACGTGCCTGGTGATAATGATATGCACGACTCAGACCTTTTTGAAACATATAACGAGGAAACTGAAGGCTTTGCTGAGACTGAGAAAAAGGTATGTTAAAAAATACATATTTATCGATTTATTTTTATAAATTTGACAGTTTTAAATTAGGCAAATGTATCATTCGTTCTTGCCAAGAAACAGCTCCTTCTTGATTAAAGTACTGAGTAAATAATTGTCGCACTCGATTTGCTTCTCTGGTAAAGTTTCTACTATAGCCACCGTGCAGACCAGCGAAAATATTTGAATCGGGTCCAAGTCCTACTTGTACAGTACCGTCCATTATGTTTTCTTCGTCAGAACACTCTGAGGGTGTATATGACTTGCCACACTTACGTCTTAAAAAATTATGGAGAACGCAGCAAGTCATTACCACTTTGTCTATTGATTTTAAGTGTAACCGAATAGCAGTTTGGAAAACTTGAAATCTTGCAGCCAATATTCCAAATGAATTTTCTATTTTGCTGCTTCCTCGAGGTAATCGGTAAAAATTTTTCTGTCATGATCCAGATCTCTCTGACTATAAGGTTTTAAAAAATCTGTACGTAATGCGAAAGCCTCGTCACCAATGAACATGAATGGCAGTTCTCTTTGACTATTTTGTGGATTTGACGGCTGTGGCAGGTGTAGAGTTCCACTTTTAAGTTTTTTGTAAAACTGAGTGTATGCAATAACTCCTCCATCTAATATTCGTCCATTCACACCACCAATCACACATTATGAATTCACAATTTGCGTCACATATGGCCATCAGTACTAAACTGTTGTATCCTTTGTAGTTATAATAATATGCTCCGCTATTCGGTGGCGGTAGTATATTTACATGTTTGCCATCCACCGCCCCTATACAATTTGGAATGTTGCAACGGGCTTCAAAGACCTGAGCAATACTTCTCCATTCTGCTTCTGTTGTAGGAAACTGAAAATAAGGATATAAAAAAAAATCACTCCAGTAAAATGTTGAGTCATTAACCAATTGCAACCATTTAAAAAAATATTTGTTAACTGCGTGTAAAGTTTAATGTAACTCCGTTACTTTTAGTAAATGTTTGTGCGATTTTGTTTATGCGGTAGTGAATCTTCGAATTTTAACTTATCGTATTTCTTATACTATATTTTTATGAGATTTTGGACACAGGTATTTAAAACGCGTAGATTGGCGTATTAACTGTTTTAATAAAGAACTGGCTTACAAAAACTTAACCATTTTTGGCCACAAAAAAGTAACGTAATATGGCCTGAAAATTGGAATAAGCAATTTTAATTTTGTCCCGTCGTAGACCTTTCATTAGTTGACATTTAACAAAAATGTCTGTAATTGGTTGATAACGTTAAAATTTACACAGCATTAATTAAACTAAACACCAATGTTTTTTTTTTAAGTAAGAAGATAATCCTAGAAATCCTAATATTGACAGTACTGAGAATGAATCTGGAAATAGTGTCTATTCACATACGACTCCTTCTGCAGTTCCTATTGACAACACCCAATCTTCATCATTGCAAAGCCATTCGATTACTCCTTCATTAAATAAAAGAGCTAAGCTTAAGTAAAAAAAAATCACAGGATCAAGCAAACAAAGCAGATGAAGTATTAATTGTTGTCCATGCAAGACTCGCTAACCCCGATGATGAATTTTCCCTGATAGGAAAGAATGTTGCTGTAAAACTGCGAAGATTGCCCATGAGAACAAGAATTTACACGGAAAAATTAATTAATGACCTATTGTTCCAAGCAGAATTAGGGAAGGTTACTGAACATACGAGAATAATTTCAGAACTAGAAAACCTTATAAATGTGACACCACCAAACAGAACATTCCATTCAAGTCGAGTGTGGGAACAGTTAGCACCTAATATTTGCTGCAGATTAGTTTCTGATGATTATCAGATTGTACTTAACTCCGCATCAGCACCTAATACCAGAACAGAAAATTTGTGCACTGCAAATTATTACTGCTCCTTAAATCCTACAGACTTTTCTTAATTATGTTTTTTATAAAATAATGAATAATATTTTAAGTTTCCTTTACTTTGGTTATAGAATTATATTACGTTAATTTGTAGAAAAATTGCTTCCTAAATAAAAATAAAACCTTACCTTCATGTATTTTTTGTGCAAAACTTGGTGGATTGCTTGACATGTTTTGGGAATTATTTAACTCAGGGCTTGTGCAGATATTACTGTAGTAAATTTTAGGTCTTGGTAATTTCTTCCAGTTGCTAAATACCTTAGCGTTGCACTTAGTCGTTCGTATGGAGATATTGCGGTTCTCATTAATGTATCTTGGCGTTTTATCAATGGAGTAACCATGTTCAAAAGTTCCACATAAGTTTTTTCGTCCATCGTAAGGTTAATGTGGGAACACATTTGTCGTTTTGAAAGCCAATTTTTAGACCAATATCACTTGCCAAAATACTGATAGTTTTGTACTAACGTCTTTAGGGTAGCGATGTACACGTTTCTGATTGCGCGTTCATGTACAGGTATGTACGTACATGTTTTCATACATCCACGTCCGTGTGTAGGGGCCTATAGATCGTAGTTAATTCGAATAGAGTGCAAACTGAGCTACATGTATATGTACCTGTAGATCCTTGTTTTGTGTTTCTATAAGCTAGTCGTAGTCCAAGCGCCGACCTCAGAGTTTTGATTACATCGCGAAGTAGTATGATGTGTTAAAAGCATCATATCTCTCGCGATGATGTTAAAGAAAATTTGCGGTCGGCTCCCTCACTACAATGCCGAAGGAACTATAGTTGTAGTCACCGTTCTTGGCGGTTGCGTCATCAACTCCATTTGAAATAAGTAAACAGATCGAGTTTCCGTACTATGGGCGGAACACTGCGCATACTAATCTTCAGCGCATCTGCTACTCTCTCCAGTACGCATGAGGTGGGGAACAGGTGACCGCTGTTTTCATTTTCTTCATGGAAATAAATTTAGCACGAGCTGTCGGCCTTCTTCATTGATCGTATTTCCGGGCATTGTACAATTTTATACTGAAGATTGATAACAGGACAACTCGAATTGCATGCCGATGTCAAGTAAGTTGTCACTCAGACAAAGTTTTCGAGACGAAGATACACAACTGAAAAACGTGTTTGAGCTTACCGAACAAACGTTTACACACAAGGGTAGGTTGTATGTGTATGCTAGATGGAGATGGAGATATACAGAGTGATTCAGAAGTAGTTACTAAAAATTAAACATCATACTCAGGACCGCATTTTAAGGGGGGCCTTCTATGTAACACCTTTTCCTCGAGGATTCATTATTTAAAATTTTTTTTTTTAATATCTTCAAAACCGTCAACTGGAATGAAGTAAAAGTTGCTATGCAGATTTACCTAAGTATTGCCCACAGTCAAAAGTATCTACTTAAAATTAACATGCACCAGTGGCGGAGGTACAGGGGATTGTGTTTTTTCCTGGAGTGCATTATTTTCGTAACAATAAAAAAAATAGTAAAAACCTTTGGGGTAGGTTGGCGTCTGTTAGGATATCAACGTTGATACTATCGACAAGCCGCTAAAACATTTCCATTACAGAACCTGTAGACAAAAATAATATTGGCGTACTCATCATTGCTGAATTCCATTTCACAACACTCAAAAATGGAAAAAACTCTTGACTTGACTTAAAAAAAATGGTAGAAGTAACGATAACAACCATATAACACATAACTCTAACAAACTATCTCACAAGAAACGTCAGGCTGGTATCAAGGCCTCCTATTTTATTTTGAAACTAATTGTATCTCGACTCTTCGTAATCTAACTCCTTGTATTTTTATTTTTGCCAAAACAGTGCACTCTAGGAAAAAACCCAAGATTAATTATTTGTAGCAAATTGAAGATAAAATTCGAAAAATAACGCATATAGGAAAAACAGAGGCGTACTATTTTTATTTAGAAAAATAATGCTACTAATCTCCCCCTCCACCACTCATGCACGTTAATTTTAAGTAAAGACATTTGAATGTGGACAATACTTAGGTAAATCCACATACCAAATTTTAGTTCATTCCACTTGACTGTTTTGAAGATATAAAAAAATTGTTTTTTATTTTTAAACTTCAACACCCCGTATCTTTTTAATGAAGCCATCGAGAAAATTATGTTACATAGAAGACCCGCTTTGAAATGCGGTCCTGTGTATGATGTTTCATTTTTGGTCACGACTTGTGAATCACCCTGTATAAAGGGTAGTCTTACTTTGACACGCCAAGAAGGGTGACGACAACTATAGCAAGGTGAATGGAGCCGTCGGCGGACTATAAAGAAATTTCACTAAAAAACAAAATATAACTTGGTTCCACATTGTTTTGTGGAAGGCTCGCCGCTGATATCTACTAATTTCGTGATTCACTCCTGCTGCTCTCGTGTACCGTCATTTAATTCTGCATTCATTCCAAATTACCTCCCGTTCCATTGCTACGTCACTTTTTTCAACATCGTTCTCTGGCAACAAAGACAACAAGTAATGGCCGCCATTATGACGCCTTCTGCTAAAATTGCGTTTTTATTCAACCAAGCAAAAAATCGCCCGACAAGCCGCACCAAAGCATATTTTCTCCGAGTTTAATTCGTTCCTTAAGGCGGCTCCGACGCAGTGAGTTTCAGGCCATTTACAAGGGTTTAGCTGCTTCGGAATTGACGCTCCATTTTTCTATATATTTGAATAAAATTTATACAGTATGTTCAGAAGACAATTGTCCAGGGTGCTATAGAGCCACTTTTCTAAAAAAAAATTTTTTTCAGGAGTTATGGTGGGTGGAAGTGCAGATAATTGTTGTTCGACTTCTCGATTTTTTTAAAAATAACCCAGAGGAAAAAACGAAAAAGTGGCTCTATAGCACCCTGTGGAGTCTTGTTTTTAGTGCACTGTGAAAATTTCATTGAAAAATATTCAAAAATGAAGCGTCAATTTTGAAGCGCGAAAACCTCTGCAAATAGGCTTTTACACGAATTTTATACACTATCTCGTGCTGCCAGTCGAAGCAACGCGGCGGTGTGTAAGGACTAAGAAAGGACGTATTCAGATAATTTGTTGTCCCAAGTTAAACAGCAGCAGTTTTAACGTCGGTCGTTCGAGATAAACATCGGACCATTAAGTGATATTTTTAATAGACTTCAATGAAAGAGGGGAAATTTTTAATCGATTTTGATCATTTCTTTTTATACAATAGGCCATGCTTCAGAGGTGATACCACAAAAAATCATTTTTGTTCAATCACTCCAATATGGATATCAAATGGAAGCACTTGTACAAAACAGTAATACGAAAACAGTTTCAAATCAAGATGGCGGCCGTTACAAAATGGCGGATAACATACTTGCTAATATCTCAAATAAGAGTCGTCGCCTTGTAGAATACAGTACTTCACTAAAAATTTGATTCCAAGATTGCCGCCGTTTCGAAATTGCGAGTTACATACTTTTGTACAAAACCCCCAATTTACATATCAAATACAGAACTTTGTGACCAAAAGTTTCCAGGTGGTTCCAGGGTCATTGGAGGCGGTAATCTTTTTAGTTAAAAATAATATAGTGAACGCATTTACCACAAATAAAATGTCACTTGCTGTTTAGCTTTAACCTTATGGAGTATCGTAGAATAAACTTAACACGATAAGCGTCATGAGATATAATGCGTGTGTCGCACCTCATTTGGCGCTTTGGGCCTCGTGACACACATGATATGTCTCACTGCTGGCAGTTATATTTGGCCGCGTAACGTAAGACGTGTGCCATGCTGATGTGATTTTCTTACGGGAACCAAGAGTCCGTGGCCTGAGGGACCAAATTATACTGAATTGGAAATGAAAACATTAAAAAACACGTTGTTTATAGAGTTTTACAAAAAGAGGATATTCTACAAATCTAAAACAAAAAGCAAATCTTATAAAATAATCAGACATTCTCATTCAAAAATGAACAAAGTAATTTCACAGCAAATCAGTAAGTTATGGTAAATGTCGATATTCTAACGAACACAAATATGGAGGAACTCTTATAAACTAAACAGATTGACAAAGTCTTATGCAGGGATAAACAAAATACTGGTATAAATAAACAGTAATACAGATAATAATGGAATTACTACAACTACTATCTGATTCACTACCACTTGGAGAATACGCATCAGATAAGTATACATCCCCACATAACTCAGTACTGCCAATCTCTTCATCCGATAGTATTTCATTACACAATTGTTCAAGCCTTTTTTGCTCCGCTTCGTAATGCGACATCACAAATTTGGTATTCAATAATTTATAAAAAGTAAAGCAATTTGGACAAGATGACGTACAATACCAACAACGCTTCAATAATAAATGACACGAAACAGTGCTCAACGCGCGACATGATGCAAGTCTTGACTTGCAAAAAACGCGACGCGACTTATGTGCCACGCGACCCGACTGGTCTGTGGGCCACGCGACATACAATTAGTACCTCAGAAAAAAAAATCAAAAAAGGGGAAAAATCATAGGATTTGAGAAAAAAGTCAAGTCAAAATATTAAACCGAAACTTAAAACAAGCTAATTTGACAATAATAACAGTTTGGCCCAGTGGACTGGATTTTCAGATTCTACTGTGGCGCTTAACGTGTCAATGTGACATTTCAATATTCGCCATTTAACAGACTAGATAAAGCTAGCCGATGCTACGTGCTATTGAGCCTGACGATTGACTTTTATTTAAATAAACAATATATACATAATATACAATAAATAGTGAACATCTGGTACTAGTACCAAAATGGAAAAGATTAGCATAACATCTCGCACATCGCTGCTAAAGCGAGATCTGCACACCGCATTTGCCGACACGAAGGGGTTAGTAACGGCGTACAATGTAATATGTTAATCTCTTCCATTTTGGTACCCGAGTACAGCAAAAATAGCCAATTCTCAAGAACTCTTTAATCAAATTCAAGCGGATAACCAAATGGAAATGGTATTTACCATTTTGGGTTGGTATTTACCGATCCGTTCAAGCGAGTGTAGTTATCAGTTTGGTTATAAGATCCGTGACGTCACGAATCAGCTGTTATATGTCATAGTTATCACCGCAAAATTGTGGTATTTACCCTACTACTCAAGAGTAGTTTTATATTTCTGGTTATTATTTGAAATGTGACAAGTTAGAATTCTGCCGGGTATTGGATATTGTTATTGTACTTCAGCTTCATTTTTGAGAAAATTGATACAGGCTGACTTCAGTTTTACCATAAAGTGGAGCACCTTATTAGTTATACTCATTTCGGTTGTTGGGGACACTTTAAATGTAGTTCCTATGCTTAACAAAGTATCCTGTGTAGCCATATACCACAAGAATATTAAAATATGGCCATATAAACTCACTAGATGATATCCACCTGTATACGGTTTTGCTAATTTCTTTTTTCATCATTTCTGCTGAATCAATAAATGTTTTCTTTGACATGCGGAAAAATTTAGAGAATTGAAAGTTATCATAGCTACAAAGCCATGGTTCCATCATTAAAAAAAAATCTGCAAAAAACATTTCTCTCATGAATATTATGAAAGGTTTCTTATTTAAACTTTCCATATACAGTTGTAGACGAAAAAGCACCGATTATTAAGT